ATCTAGTATGGGGTTAATGGATAAGCTACTTCTTACCGTACGTGTATTACTGTATCTGGCACGATAGGCATTAATCTGGTTATGTATTTCAAACTGCGAATGCAGGAACCGAGATTCCCCTATATGACATTTATCACGAGGATCTGTCGCGCCTTAACCTCTGCATTATGGCAAGCCCTTACCTTCAAAACTAAAATGGGAAATAGAATTATTGTAACTTTGAATAGAAACAATGCGTTTTGAAATGAAAACAATACGTCTTCCATAAACGGAAAACACAAAGAGTAAAATGAAACATTCGCTATAGCAAATGCGCACTTTGAATCAAAGCGTGATCGTCTGCCGCGGAATGCCGCACGCATCGCACTCCCGCGCCGACGTCGGCGCCGCTGCAACAAACATTTCGTGAGATTTTCAACTAATTGCTGAACAGATTCCGCGGCTGTGCGATCGCTCTCCGCTAGGTTTTCTCTATGGGCGGCGCGCGGTTACAAAGAGTTCAGAAAATAAACAGGACTAGCGATAGCGCGCGATGTTGTTTTCCGTGTAACGCTGCAGCGAGTTTCCCCTAAACACGCCACCGTATCTGTTCATCACGCTATATCCGCTGTCAACTTCCCGCTGCTATCTATTACATGCGCCCGGAGGCGATATCGCGGCGTAGTGGGTGTGTGCGGGGCTTCTCTCTCTCTCTCTCTCTCTCTCTCTCTCTCGCAAACATTGCTCCTTCTACAAAAATGCCATTCGTAGGAAAAGCTGTTTCGAAACGGGACGCGTGTTGGCGTTTTGCCCACTACGCACTCGCTACAGTTGAATAGCCCACTCACAACAAACGCTTCGGTGAGAATGCCGAAGTTCGTATTTAGATAAGGCGAGTAAACAGGCGTAAATTACTCGACGGGGTTGGGGGCTTTTACTGTTTAGAATATTATATTGTTGTAGTAGTATTTGTAGTACTCTCTGGGATTACCACGCGAGTTGGCCTATCTTTACTCGATCTTTGAGTCCTGGTGCATTTGAAACGGTGGGGCGTCTGCGTTGTTGTATCACGTGATAGTACGTCGTAATAGTCGTATATAACAGTCGTATCAGTGACGCTCGTCTAACGCCATTATTTTACGGACCGGAGAATGCATTTATTCAGCAAACTAATATGCGGCCATATTGTGATATGAGTATATTATATTATGTATTATATTAGTATCTTGTAGTTAGGGGTTGTATCGCCTAGGGGTTGTATCTCTATTTGGCACGCAATTATCCTCCTAATTCCATTTCACCGTACCTTCATGAATGGATATGGATACCCATGATGCACGATTCGACAAATAGCAGGCACCAGATTTCCGGTGTCGGATTATTATTTTACTTATATCACGGCGTTAAGATGACACGTGTTATTGTAATTATGTTGTTGTTGATTGCAGCAGTTGCAAGAAGTTGTTGAAATTTGCCACAACACTAAAAAAACGCCGAGTCTAGCGCAGCACTCTGTGAAGGGTTAGGGTCTGACGTTCGCAAGTATAAACACTGCGTAGCAACAATTACCAACACGCAATCCGCATCCATATCAATCAGGGGCGGATCCAGAGGGTTTGGGTGACCAGTTTGCATATGTTCTTCTGCAGCTAGGAGGGTCCGGGAGCATGCCCCCCGGGAATTTTAAAAAAATTAGGCTATATATTTGGTGCATTCTGGTGAATTTTGAGGCCTGTGACCGGTTTCTGGAAACGGGTGCAAACCGGCCTAAATCCGCGCCTGTCAATAGCATGTGTCTTATTACTACGGATATCATTTTATAAATAAATTATATATATATTACATAAATAATATATTATATTATGTAAACAATATGTTATATTCGATTTTTATAAATATATTACGAATTTACGTGATCTCCCGGTGATATCAACTGCGGAGTTGACGACCATAGCAACACGGCTCGCACGTGACCACGTAGAGCGCATGCGCGGCTATGCGGGTCCCCACGATGCCCCGCGCGCCATGCCTTCATAGTTAGTCGAGTCGTGCCAGAATTTCACGTTCGCATGCAGTCTGCGCGTAAATATAGTAAATAACATAGCGTGTACAGGAACAGGAAAAGCCTACATCTGCCATCTGCTAGGACCACGTAGGCAGATGATGGGCTAACTTAGAACAGCCGTACGCCGTTATCTGACGAGAAGCCGGCGGCTGTGTGCCTGTGCTCTCTCATTTTACCCGAGATATTTCTTGACGCCCTTCTTAGTATTTCATAGGCAGCGACAAGGACGGGAATAATATATATAAAGGTATATGTATATATATATCTCTATTATGTACTCTTGATATATATACATACACTTCCATATCCTTGGTAATATTTATCTTTACATAGCTATACCCGTCAGTGCTGAGGTAGACTCATTTTATTCATATAAGTCAGCAGAGACATTATTTGAGGTCCAGTCTAATTTACACCTGCATTAAATCAATCAATAAAACGCAAATGATTCATAATTTATGTTTGAATTTTTACATGCTGGTTATAGCTGACGGTGCAGAGATGGTATACTAAATGTTATAGGATATGAAGGGTAGAGCCGATAGTTTGTGCTTCATTGTTACCTAGAAATCTGTCACGACTCCTCGTGTATTCATGCACAACTTAATTATGTTAATTGCGATAGTTCTGCAGCCTCGTCATTTTCGTTTTTCGTAAATCGCGTAAAAAAACTCTTGAGTATATCATCAATCGTATAGTGCAACCGACTTCATATATGCTAACATCTCTCTCACGTGGCTTTCTCTCGCTATTTTAGGTTTGTTACTCGGACACAGACGTACCCATGAGCATCGTGGTGGACGAATCGGAGCCCGTGGGAGGTGAGTAACGCATGTCGGCCATGTTGTCGCAACTGTCTGCTGTCAACTTCCGGACACCGATCCCATTCTATCAACGCGATTGCTGAGCAGTTCCAGATGGAATAACATACAGCTATCATAACCCGGAGGGACTTTTCCTGCGGCGTAAAATGGTTCGAATATTCGGAAGAGTTTTTTTCCGAGTCATTTCCTGAGTGGCCTAGAGTAAACACGCTTCTCAAAATATGGCGGCTTCTTGACGTCTATATACCGACTTTGCTCCGTTCGAGGTGAGCAAGGTGAGGTCTGTGCAGTACTAATCTAATTGCATTCAAAAATTCAGGTGACTGTGAGTGAAATTAGGAAGATCTAGAATAAATTTTTAATTGGAAATAACTAATTAGTGTGCACATTTTCGCACTGACGAGTTGTGCAATGGTTTTCAGTATATTTTTCTCTATCTTTGGGTAAAATTTTATGTAGATGCTGCTGAGGGGGGGGGGTCACAAAACATAAAAACTAAAGCAGTTTTGGCTGCTCACCCGGCTGTTTAATCGCCCGTAGGACGATGATAATACTATTGTATTTAAGGATGCTCCCTGGTCGAATGACGTTCATATCTTTCTTCTTCCTGCCTCCTTATCTTATTCTCGTTCTTTCGTAATATCTTTCTAAATCTATTTCATTCTGCCTTTGCCACCCTTTTATCGCGCTTTCGTTCTCTTTTCTCTCCCTGTCTCTCGATCCCTCTCTCCGTCTCCTCTTCTCTTTCCTCTCCCTCATTCCCTCCTTCTTTACCCCCTCGGTCTTTCTCTTTCTCAGTTGCATTCCGTCACACAGCGTGACCGTAAACTACAGCCATGGCTGCAAGCACAGCACGCAGACGTGCGGAAAATAACCTCAACTCATCTGTCTATTACCAGTCAACATTTACGCCAGTTGCGTATTACTGCGTCCAGATGTCGCGCTCGCCTGCATGCCTGCCAGCCTCTCGGACTGGAGAGAGATGTTTCGCGAAGAATAAAACCTGTCGCGCAGATGTTTCACGCGCGTCGCATGTCGCGAGAGACTGACTGACTGAGATGCACACAGTAAGATATATCACGCAATTGTGTTACCGGGCTGTATCGGGTAAGCAGGAGGCTGGCTGGGCGGATTAGTGCACTCATGCTGCAAGCAGCCACTAATTGGGAAATGGAAACCGCCTGCAAAGGCGCCAATTGATACAGAAGACTCGCGCACCGACACTCCGCTCAGCCCACATGGTAATAAGATCTAGCGCGATCTCCACTCTAACCCGTTATTCTTTATCCCCCCCCCCTATCTTTTACTCCGCACCCGTTATTCCTCGCCTCTTTTATCCAATAGAGTATGTATGGATGTATATATGGTATGTATGTACCCCAATCCTAACCCTCATCCGTTCCCCTTAACCCTTCATCCCTCACCCCATGCCCTATATTCCTTACCCTGTTCCTTACCCTTTACCCCTTACCCTTTATCGTTTAGCCTCACTACTTATATATATCTTACTCCGTAGCATAACATCTTATCAATCATTATTCATTTCTTATTCATCACTCCTTAAGGTTTACCTCGATCTCCGCTCTTACTCCTTATCCATAACCCATAACCCTCATTTCTCCTCATTTACACTTTACCAATCATCCCTCATCTCTTACCACGTACTCTTACAATTTGCTCCTCGTCTGAATTCAAGTATCCTTCCTTACCCTTCATTACCCTTACCCTTTATCCCTCATGTATCATTCCTTACCCTTCATTACCCTTACCCTTTATACCTCATGCATCATTCCTTGCCCTTTCTTACCCTACCCCTTATACCTCATGCATCATTCTTTACCCTTCTTTACCCTACCCTTTATACCTTATGCATCATTCGTTACCCTTATCCTTTATCCCTCATGCATCATTGCTTACCCTTTTTTACCCTTACCCTTTTTTACCCTTACCCTTACCCTTACCCTTACCCTTTCTTACCCTTGTCCTTTATACCTCATGCATCATTCCTTGCCCTTTCTTACCCTACCCCTTATTCCTCATGCATCATTCCATACCCTTCTTTACCCTACCCTTTATACCTCATGCGTCATTCCTTATCTTTTATTACCCCTACCCTTTATACCTCATGCATCATTGCTTACCCTTTCTTACCCTTACTCTTTATCCCTCATGCATCATTCCTTACCTTTCCTTACCCTCACCCTGTGCTTCTTAGCCCCTGTACATTACCAATCAGCGCTCACAACTTCTTCCTTCATCTTTTCTCGCTAACCTTTCATATCAGACATACAATACACACCTCATCACCCCCATCCTTCCGCTAACCTCTCATATCCCACATACAATACACACCTCATCACCCCCATCCTTCCGCTAACCTCTCATATCCCACATACAATACACACCTCATCACCCTCATCCTTCCGCGCACAGGCACTTGAAGCGTTCAGGCACAAAATACGTAATCTATTTACTACCAAATTCTTAATGTTTCTATACTCTCTTTCACCTATTATTGCCGACAGTTTCCTGTAAATTCCGTCCAAATCCTATGTACAACATACGCTGCCGGTGGCCATTGCTCTCGCGGCTGCACTGCGCACGCTTACACTTATATATATATACACTATATACACTATAAACACAGTTATATTCAGTTATATACAGTTATATTACACTATATATATAAGTGTAAGCGTGCAACAGTGCAGCCGCGAGAGCAATGGCCGCCGGCAACGTATGTTGGACGTAGGATTTGGACGGAATTTACAGGAAACTGTCGGCAATAATAGGTGAAAGAGAGTATAGAAACATTAAGAATTTGGTAGTAAATAGATTTCGTATTTAGTTAGCATTATATTTTATTGAAACGCTTCAAGTGCCTGTGCTTCCGCGATCTCTGCTCTACACGTGTTTTCGCATACTTCTCGTATTAAGAGACCGTATTTTCGCGTGCGGTACCAGCAATAACAGCAATTCGATTGCCTATATCGTAGCCCCTGTTTGCAGATCAGCGAAAACAGCGTCACGCCTCGTCAGCTGCGCATCTTGGTCGACGCAACGTAAACAAACAGACAGACGTAGCATAAAACTAGCCCCCCCCTCCCATCTGCAGCGAGGCCAGCACTGCGAGAGGAAGCACAGGCACTTGGGACAGAGTCAGTTTTTACTGACTCTGTTCCAAGTGCCTGCGGGAGGAAGCACTCGTGCTCTGGGGCCCGTTGTCAGAAACAAAATTAGTCTTAACATTTGTCTTAACAATAACTTGCACTCGTTAACCGTTGACAGAAACATCGTAATGTTACGATAACGAAAAATCCTCGCAAATATCCTCTTAACATTACGAGAGCCCAGACCCTCTCGTAACTTTAATATTAAGTTGAAAATAACACATTTACACTACGAATTACAATTATAGTGATATTATATTTTATAATAATGAATAAAATGTGTGTTTTTCTTGAAAAACACGTCAAAATAATTAATTATCTACCGCTAATAAAACAAAACAATACACTTACAATATAATACTTCTCTTGTTTTAAAGGAATGCCACGCTTGCCACGACTCTCGCGTCTCGCGTTACAGTGTGAGAATTTGTCTTGTTGTGCAGAATAAATTCATGACCACGTCGTTTTTCATCAAATATTATTTATCTGTGGTTAGCCATCATAATATGCATAAATTACTGTGATGTACAATAAATGTGTATGAATTTGAATTTTGTGATCGATTCTCATCCAATGTGAATTGTGATGAAGTTCCTGTTATCGTAAGTTTTCTATTAGCTGCGATGTCTTTCTGTCAACGCTACTCTTGTAACATTAACATTAGTCGTAAGTGTTATCTTAGCATTAACATTCGCATTAACATTACGATGTTTCTGACAACGGGCCCCTGGGCTTTCGCGCAGGAAAGCGAGAGAGTGTGTCCGAACGCGTGTGGGCCGTGCCTGCACAATGCACGTATAGCGATTCCAATTAGACGAAAAATAAAATTGAAAAATCTTTCGTTAACGATGATGGGTGGATCTGTGGCTGGCGAGGACAGGTGAAGATGGTCCGATGTTTTTATTTCACAAGTCAGAGCTCTTCTCACTTTTTCTTTTCCTATGTCCTAGTTGAGAACGATAAATCTTCTGATTTTGTTGGCGGCCCGTCTCTTTTTGTGAAACATTGCAGAGACGACCTGTCTACGTACCGAGGGCGTGGTTGGCAACTAGAACACGTGTAGAGGGCGTGATAGGTAACTATAACACGTGTTCGACGTCGGTGTGATTAGGTAATTAGAACACATGTAGAGGCGCGTGATAGGTAACCTAGACACGTGTAGAGGGTGCTGTAGGTAACTTAGAACGCGGTGTAGAGGCGTGATAGGTAACATAAACAGCGATAGGTTAGAGCGTGTGATAGGTAACTATAACACGTGTAGAGGGCGTGTAATAGGTAATAACCAGTATTCGTGTTGAATGCATGGTGGTGCTTATCTAGTATGGGGTAAATGGATAAGCTACTTCTTACCGTACGTGTCTTACTGTATCTGGCACGATAGGCATTAATCTGGTTATGTATTTCAAACTGCGAATGCAGGCACCGAGATTCCCTATATGACATTTATCACGAGGATCTGTCGCGCCTTAACTCTGCATTATGGCAAGCCCTTACCTTCAAAACTAAAATGGGAAATAGAATTATTGTAACTTTGAATAGAAACAATGCGTTTTGTAAATGAAAACAGTACGTCTTCCATAAACGCGGAAAACGCCAAAGAGTAAAATGAAACATTCGCTATAGCAAATGCGCACTTTGAATCAAAGCGTGATCGTCTGCCGCGGAATGCCGACACGCATTCGCACTCCCGCGCGACGTCGGCGCCGCTGCAACAAACATTTCGCTGAGATTTTCAACTAATTGCTGAACAGATCCGCGGCCGTGCGGTCGTTCTCCGCTAGGTTTTCTCTATGGGCGGCGCGCGGTTACAAAGGTTCAGAAATATAA